GTCAGACCCTGAGTAGCAAGTAAAACAAGCATTCTTCCATATCGCAGGTTAAGTTAAAAGTCTCAGAAAGGTTAACCAAGCTTTGCAAGGGCAGAAGGAAACTAATGCCTAAGGCCCTGTTTCCCAGTGGAGTACTATTCTACTACTCCCTCCTACCAAAAAGTCATCAAAAACTAAGGTATACGGGCACCTAGCCTCTTTAAGAAACAAATTTAAGAAACTAAAACTCTCTACCACTACAAAATTCAGGCCCCAAATGAAAACATTTACTTGACAGATGATATCCTCCACTCTATAAGGGTTATAAGACTTCTGACAACTTCTGCAAAATTGCTTGAAGTAAACCTGTAATGAGAGAGAGCAAAACTTACAGCAAAACCCTCTTGACACTTTAGTCAAAAAGATGCCAGTTACAAGGGATTTCTTACCTTGTTAGTGCCCTGTACACACCACACATATGCACTTTCCCACCGGATGTTGCAGTCCTTGCAGTGATAATAGCCATACTTCTGCTCTAAGAACTGAACAGAATACCAGAGTTTAACCAACGTGACAGGTGAATTATCCTTCATTGCTGAAGCTGGGAAGGATCTAATATTTAAAGGTGGCAACCTCATTCCAGATCGTGGACAAAAAACAGTAGGATCAGGTTTAGATAAACTTCTACAGCATAGTAATTAAATGAGCTAATGGCTTAGTCAAGCAAATAAGTAAGTATGGGTCCAAAAAATGTTTATATACCAGCTTAACTTGGTTCATAAGGCAAGAGGACAAATATGAATATATAGGTGTTTTCCCTCAGACAGGCAAGAGAAAAGCCAAACATCCAGGGTTCTCTGAAGCTTGAAATTCTTATGGAGGCCTTTTCTCTGTAGGATAGATTCTGATAATTAGAACTTACACATATGGAAGTGGTTAAGGTGAAGGAAAGGAATAGACTCTGCATCATACTTTCAAATTCTCTACCATGCTAGTGAGGGCAGTGGTAGACAAGTGATAGAATTCTCACCTTCCATGCGCGAGACCTGGGTTTCTCCTCCAAGGAAGCTCAAAGCACAGCCACCACTCATCTGTCAGTGGAGGCTTATGTGTTATTGCTGTGATGCTTAACAGATTTCAGTGGAGCGGAGCTTCCAGACTAACACAGACTAAGAAGAAAGGCCTGGTGATCTACTTCCTAAAATCTGCCAATGAAAACCCTATGGGGTCACGACGGTCCAAGCCAGTGGTGCATGGGGATCCCATTGTGCATGGAGTACCCATCAGTCGGGCTGACTAGAGGGCAGCTAACACCACCACCCTACTAGTTAAATTTCCACCAAATATAAGTCATATTTAATGTTAACTAAAGTAGTATCTGGAGCCCTGGTGGCACAGCAGTTAAGAGCTTAGCTGCTAATCTAAAGGTCAGTAGTTCAAACCCACCAGCTGCTCCTTGGAAACCCTATGGGGCAGTTTCTGCTCTATCCTATACTGAGTCAGAATCAACTTGACAGCAATGGGTTTGATTTTTTTGGAAAGTAGTATTACTTCATTCTTTAGTTTCCTTTCCTCCATCCCAGTGAGAGACAAGTTACAAACAAGTTTCTTGGAGTTAGGCCTTTACAACTGTAAGAAACTCTAGAGAGCACTTAGAGCAATCTCACAGGTGAGCAAACTGAAGACTAGGAAGGCCAAGACTCATCTGAAAACACACACAGCTTGTCTGTGGCCAAGCTGGGACCGAGAGCTTCTTGATTCACTTCACCCCCACCCCACCCCTTCCCTTCTTAAAAGAGCCCTAGAATGGCTGTGGAAGTAAGGACAAAGGACTCCTCCCAGCCTCTCACTGCTCTCATGCCTTTCTTCCCACTTCCCCTGAGTTATAATCGTCCTCTGTGCACTCCTAGCCCTTTGGGGTTCAGCTAGTGTGAACTGGACCCCCAAAGCCTGCTGCTCTCTCAGGCAGCAATACTGAACAGCCAGAATGCCTTAGCAGTATCATTCTTGCAGGGGTGCTTTTTAAATGCAAGGAAAGCTCCTAAGGAGGTATTCCAGGAGTTCCAGCTTCCAGTAGACTGTCAGCTTGGAAGATGGGGGTAAGAGCTGAAGACATGGGAGAGGTGAACAGGGCTCCAGTCGACTGTTAATGCTTTTGCCATATTGAGTGTGGAAATGGGAGTCGGATCGCGGGAATCCACTCTCCTGCCAACAAGGTCACCTCGTGTTCTGAGTACCCTCCCTAGGTCATACAAATGCAGGGCCAAGAGTGGACCATTTGCCTAAGGTCAGGGTTTTATACTGCACATATGCTCAGAATAAAAATGTTAAAAAGGCGTGTTCGTGGCCAATGGTGTTCTTGTCGCGCCAATGTTTTACCATCACTGCAAATAAGAACCAAGTTAAACTGAATTCAATTCGAGTTCCAAGAAGACCCCCTGCCACTAGGGTGGCTGTAGAAACGCATTCTGGTGTGGTCTAAGGAAGCTTTGAGCCTCCACATGTCCTGAGCAGTCATAGGGCGCCGGCAGGGGCAGGAACCAGGAGGACACCCTTCGCATCCCACGCCCTCGGGGACCGCCCCGAGCCTCGGGTCTCCCCTGGGCGGCTCAGGCCTCACCTGGAAGCGCAGGCGCTCCTTGCTTGGCTCGGGGCTCCGCGGCGACGATCTCTCTCCCGCGACGGCCGCGTCCTCATCGTCCTCGGCCCTACTCGCCGGCTCGGGCTGCTCAGGGCTTCGCGGGCCCGCTACACCTCCTCGGGCCTCCCGCGGCGGCGGTACGGCCCCGTCGGCAGGCTGCTCCCAGCTCGCCCGCACCGCAGCCTGGGCCTCGTCGTCGTCGTCGTCGTCCTCGGACTGCAGCCACTGGAGCGCCTTCCTCGCCGACGTCCCGCCCGGCTCCGGGCTTTCGGGCCTGGGAGACCGCCCTCGCTCTCCCTCGAGCGCCCGGGTCTTCTGCTCGCCCGCTCCCGCCGCTGCGGCCTCGGCCCCCTCCAGGAAGGTGGTGAGGCGGCGGGAGACCACCGGGGAGTACACGGCAACCGTGCGCGGGAAGCG